TAGAGCTCATATTATTCAAGAAATGAATACCCTTTTTTGTCATATTTTAATCATTGAATGAAAATTTTTAATTTTCTGATGGATGACTACAAAATGACTTACGATAAATTATCAACCCCAGTTACATTTTTGTTTTCACATTCAAATTAAATTTACAAACAATATATGGAATATATTTTTATAAATATTTCTGTAACAATTAAACATACACACAGCATTTTATGTAATTGTATGTGTTTATAATATTGTTATTATGGTATGGTTACCTTAAGTAATTATTTAATTTCTGTTTCAGCAATTATTATATTTGTGGGTACATTTTATATACATAGTCGAAAATATACACATAATGTTTATCATTTAATTTGTATATAAAATTAAAAAATTCCACGTGTGTATGTAGGTACGTTTCTGTGTGCAAGTATATCACTAATTAAATCTAATTTTATTTTACGTTTTTTTTTTTTGCATTTATTTCTTTATCTTTTTTAATTATATCATTCATTTCCTTTAAAATTTTTTTTTTTCATAATTTTTCATTATTTTTGTATATGAAAACAAATAAAAAGAAAAGTTCGGAAAGTGTGGAAAATGCGGAAAATCACAAAAGAGAGAAAACGCCGTTTAATATTCCGCATTGTATATAATTATTTTATTTAATTTATAAATAAAATATAAAAGATGATTCAGTTTATAGTATTAATATTTATTTCATGAGTTTATTTCTGAAAACGTCCGGCACTTGTAAGATAATTTTCGTACTGGATATTCTACAAAACCGATATGATTTTCATACACATTATACTATAAAAACAGAAAAATCTTGAATGGTCCTCATTTCTTTTTAATGTGTATTGAACGGCTTAAAATTTCAAAATAAAATAAATTAAATAGATTTGAATTACCATTAATCGCTAAAAAAAGCTGAACAAGCTATGTAGCAGTAGGAGACTCAATTGAATCGTCTCAATTGTAGCAGTAGGAGACTCAATTTGGGAGTGAAATGAAAAATACTATTCATTTCTGGATCACTTCGCAATTCATGACTGCTTGAGCAAATTACGAAACTGCAACTGACTATTGAACGATTTTGTGTAGATTTGGCAATGTTGAAGGTGAGATAGTGGAGCATATTCTGCTATTGCACTGCATTGAGCTTAAAGCAGTTAGATATTAAACTCAGTGCTTTTAACAATTAACACTACGGCAGATCACTTGATTTCCTGATGAGTATTAGATTGACTAATTTTTTCTGAGCAAACAGTGAATTGAGCTGATTCATTGTAGCAGTATTGTTGAGCTGACACTTAGTACTATGAGCATTGCAAGATTCTCCTATATTAAAGTTTCGTAACTCTATATAATATTGAGCATACAAACTATAAAAAGGAAAAGTTATTTAAAATATTCCCTGATTTTTTGGAAAATTGTATTCTTAGGTCAATTTATTAGAACACACTAACATCGAAAGTTAGAGCCAACTTTTGTTTCATTTGAGCCATTTTGTATCATTTTAAATTTCATAAATTTATTTTTTTTGTATTATAGAACAGAAAATTTACATATTTATATATATCCTTTTATAATGTAATTATTTATATATATCCTTTTATATTGTATAATTTCCATTTTTCTTATAAAAAATTCTTATCGTTGTTTACGGAGTGAGAAAATCCTTGAATAATCCAATAATACTTAAATGAGTTAATCAATCTCTAATGAATTTATATACTTTCATACAATTGTTTTATTCTTCTTGTTCGATAGTCTCGAGAGTAAAAAAAGTCCCTTGACTTTTGTATTCCATTATTGACAATATATGAAAGGCAATTTAACTTGAACAACCCATTTTATTAAAATATTTTGTATACGTACGTACATCTGATTCATATTCAAGGTGCATTTTCTATTGAGCTTAAATGAAATCCTTCAAAATAATTATTACATAATATATTTTTATCTTAAAAAAAAATTGAAAAAAAAAAAAAATAAGGATTTTTGTAAATTAAAATATTTTTAATGGACCTTGCTTATATTGGATAAACGTAAGCTCTTACACAAAATCTTAAAAAATACACTCATTCAAAAATGTAGGCTTATTATTGAAAAGGCTCATGTTAAATGAATTGAATATGTGTTTGTTTTTTATATTAAATATTTTATTGTTTTCTTCTTAAATTTAGAGCAGAATAATTATTATTAAAATTTTAAAAAATTTTCCCAAATCTATTTGAAAAACACAAAAATGTTTAAAATTTTCGCACTTCTTCCAAGTCAATTATTAAAGACGACTATTCCATCAGCCATCTTCAACCTAAACGGTGCACAAACAAATACTCTTAGATTTCTAAGTCTATAATTAAAATAGTTTGAAAAATTTCTTAGGAGAGCACCTAAGAGGCACCTAAAAATTTATAATGAAATAACAAGATTTTTTTAATTTTAACGAAATAAGTGAAACATTTTTATTATTCTATATTAAATTAAAGAGATTGAAAAAAGAAATCTGAATTACTAAATCTGAATCGATTAAATTTAAGAAATTTATAATTCTTTACTCAAAATTTAACTTTAAAATCTTAAACGAAGAAATATTTCGAAATAAACAGCTTTCTTTTTTATTCCCTCTTTCTATAAGAATTTATTACAATTTCATGTCGCCTATGGATATTAAAAAATGTAAATTTTTATTAACCTCCAAAAATTTTTAAATTAAAAGAGACTATGCACCTAAACCAATTGAATTTATTATTTTTATAATTTGGCACATATTTAAAGTATTAAATTAAATTTAAAGAATTTTATATTTTTGAAAAGAGTTTTCTTCTATGTATAACATTATTTTTGCAAAAAATGAAAAAATTTAATTTAATTAAAAATCTTTTTTCCGTTTCTTAATTTTGTTTTTTTGATACCTATGACCTTACAGAATGCATTTATAGAATTATGAAATTTTTTTCTACCATGTGCACCAATGACTATAATTCATCGATATCTTTAAACCAAATCTGTAATAAGTTCTGCAATAAAACTGGATATTGCTTTTCAACATATTTTCTAAAAAAAGTCGCTTGACCTTGCCGAATAATCGTGTTTTAGATCCTTTTCGAGACCGAAAACTTTGTAGGGCCATTTTTTAACCGGATTCACCATAAAATCTGTAGAGCTGTTCAGAACTTTTTCTATAATATAAAATTTACGTTATGAGCTTAATTTTTTCGTAACAAAATTTTTAGGTATTTTCAGCAATAAGTAGGACATATCAGTATTCCAATAAATTTTTCTTTAAAACTACAGTAACTAAGTATCGAATCAAAATTCTGAATATTTAAAAGAAAAAAATCATTTTAATAGGCTGTATAAGAGGAAGAAACTTAAAATTTTAATTAATTCTCAATTTTCTTTTATTTTCCAATGCACACAATTTCATAAATTTTCTTAATAAATAAATTGCAAATTATTGTAATAATTCAATTACAATTTAAAATTTTTGTCTTTGCAATAAGAACAGAATAAACTGCAATAAAAAATCACAATCACTTTGAAAAAAAAAATAACAACAACAACAATAGAAGAAAAAATAAATAAAAACAACAATAACCCCTGTTTAATCCTTGATTTCATGTTCCCGTTATTTAACAATTTTTTTTTCTCATATTTTTTTCGTAACTTTTTCTCACACTTGATTTTCAATTTTTTTTTTCTCGTTCTTTTCCTTTAATTTTACTTTTTAATTTTTCTTTTTTCTTTCGTTTTTTTTTTTTTGCACTTTATTTAAGTGATTACATAAAAGATTTTTTCTTTCTGTTTTTACTTCCCGTACACAAAAAAAAATAAAATTTTTTGCAAAAATAACAGAAAATAAAATGATAAAATAGGCAAAATGTAGACAAAATTTCAATAAAACCGAAACGATACAATAGGATAACAAGAAAAATATTACACGATTTAAAAAACAAAACAAAATTAAGAAAGAAAAATATAAAAAATAAAAAAAAAAAAAAACAAAAATTAATTCTCTCTAAACACAAAGCTATAATATTGATGATAAGCGTCAGCTATACAAAGTTTATACAGAGAGTGACAAAATCTTGAATAAAAAAAACTGAAACTGAAAATTTTTCTAAGATTTCAAGCCTATATCCAATACACATACATAATACATATAAGTATATAGAGAAATAAGATTATAAGAGAAAAAGAAATAGAATTTTTACAGTTACACAATTTTTTGTTTTCTATTTTCATTCAATTTTGACTTTTATTCTTCTCCTATTATTATTTTTTTTTTGTTTTTCATTTTTATTATTCTTTTCTATCATACATCTACTTAATTTTTATGCTTTAACAGTAAACTAACATATATGTATATATATATATGTATATATGCTTACAACTGAAATAATTCTTATAACAGTTTCATTTCAATTTATATATACATATTATAATATAATAATAACGGAAATTCATAATAAACCAACATAAATTGAAAGGAAATAGAGATGGCAATAACAGGGAAAATAAACAACAATAATATACAATATAAGTAATATGTATGTATGTATTTACTTTCATACATATATACAGAAGGAATATGACGTATATAATATGTAATGTTAAAAGCGAAAAAAATATTAAGATAAAATTTTTTAGATATTTTCATTTTGTTTATAACAAAAATATACTGACACACATACTTATTGAAATTGAAATCTATATATAATATATATATATATATATAGATAGGTTAAGTAGCTTAATTTATTACATACAACAAATTTTAAGTATACACACGCATAATATACGCATATAAACTTGATATATACATTATACAAGTATTTATATACAGGTTTACATATATATTTAATGCGTGTGTATGTATATACGAGGTACCTATTTATATACAATATTTATAATGATATAATAATTTTTTTTTTTCTTTTTGTTTCTTTTCAATATACTAATATTATTTTAGAAAATACACAAATACAATCACACACCTTTTATACTTAATATATTTTTCCTTTTTTCTTTCTTAAAAAAATTCTTTGCTTTTCTTCTTCCTGTTATTAATAATTTTCTAACCACTCTTTTTTCACATAATGTGCACTTAAAAATTAAAAATAGTAACAATTTTATTTTTTTAATTTTTATACTATTAATATTAATTAAAAAAAAAAAAAAAAACAAAATTTGATTCTGTTATAATTTTTGTTTTTTTTTTTCTTTTTCTTAAATGTATGAAATCTCCTTCGTCAATTAAAAAAATTTAATTAAGACAAACAGAATAATAAGAAAATCATTTAAAATTTTTTTGCTATATTTTTTATTCTTCTTTTTTTAATTTTTTCCAGCAATCACCTTTAAATATAAACTCTACATTTAAGAAAATAAACAAAAAATTTGAAATTGCATAAATTTAGGCTTAAAAAAATCAACTTCTTATGTTTTTTATGACTTCATTTTACATACTTTCAGGCTGAAACAAACAAAAATTCTCTTTTCTTGCAGTTTATTTAATTATTTTCTCTGTTTGTTTTCTAATATTTTAATTATTTTTTCTCTTTTTCAAAAATTTTTTCAATATTTAATAATTATTTAAATATTTTCGATATTGTTTTCTTTATTTTTTATTCATGTTGTTAGAATTATTTTTATATAACAATTTTTTGATATTTTTCCACAATTCAATATTTTCAATATTTCACAAATATTATTTAAATATGATTACTATTAGATTTTTTATTATTTGAAAATATTTTTCTTCAATTTCAATTTTCTTTATACATTAATAATAAATTAAATTTTATTAGAATAAATTATAATCTTATATATTTTTATATATTTTTATATAATATTTTTGAATATTTTTATTTAATTTTTTATTTAACTTACAAAATTAATTTTTATATAATTTTTTTTTTTACTAGTACAAATATTATTTTTTATTTTAATTTTTATATTTTTTGCATTCATTTTGTTTTTCTCATCATTTCTTCACAAAAATATTTTTGAATTTAAAAGTGTTATGAATTTTTACAAGGTTTTAGTTTTAGTTTTAAAATTGAAATAAAATTTTTTTTTTTTATTTTTAAAATTTTTTCAAAAAAAAAAAAAGTATATTATGTATAGATATATAATTTATATAACGGCACTAATAATATAAAAAGACAAAAAAAAATATTTATAATTTTTTTTTTTCGAAAAAACAAAAAAAATATAATTTTATAATAACGGTAAAAGAAAAACGGGAAACCAAAAAAATATAATTTTTTTTGTTTTAAATATTTTTTTTTTCCAAAAATCATTCGAGAATTTTTTTTTCTGATAAATTTAATTATTAATTTTAAATATTTGCATTTAATTTAATAAATTAAATTTTTTAATTATTTTTAATTTTAAATTTTGTATTTTTCATATTCCAATTATAAGAAATGTTATAATATATTATGCACATATATACAAATATATATAAATATAATTAATAATATTAAATATATTTAATATAATATATGTATATATATATGTATGATATATAATTACAAACAGCATGTAATAATTTTTTCCCGCCGAACTTATCTCAGAGGCGACCGTCGAAAGACTAAAAAATATTTTCGCAAAACATAAAAAAAAAAAAAATTAATATATTCAAGATTTTCAAATAACGGGATCTGTTCATTTGAAATAAAACTTTTTTCTTTTCTGTTGATTGCTTATTTTTTTTTTTATAATATGAATATAACAACAACAACAACAACAAAAAAAAAAGAAAATATTTCATACAGAAATGAATGTGAAAGTTTTCTCAAATTCATAATCATAATACATAGAAAAAGAAACAGACAGAAAAGAAAAAAAAAAAAATTCCAAGTGTATAATAACGGATAAAAAAGAAAACTTTAATTCTAATACATACACATATACATACATTCATACATTCAATGAATACACATAAATAATTGCATAAACACAGGAGTAAATGTTTTGAAATTTTTATAAGAATTTTGAATATTAATAATAATAATTTTTTTTCCAATTTCATATGAAATTAAAAAAAAATAAAAATTCCAAATAAATTTTAATATAAAAAATAAAAAAAAATAAAAATAAAATGACTCCTAAATTTATATTCAAAAGTAAATTTAAAATTAAAGGCGCCTAAATATATGCTTGTATTACGAAATAAATTACTTGTTATTGTATATGTTTTTACTTTACATGTTTTCATATTATTACGTAATATTTACAAATAAATTCATTTAAAATCTACTAGAAAATTAAAATTTTATAATTTTAAAAAATTAATTTAAATAAATTAATAATTTGTTGTTTTTGTAATTTAATAAATTCTGTAATTAAAATTTAAATTTTTTTTTATTTAATTCAGCTATAACTTTTTTTTCCGGTTATCAATATTATTCTGTTATTTTTGTTATTACTACATATACTATTAAATAAATTTTATAGTAACGGTACTTTTCTTTTAATCTAATATAAATAGCGGTAAATATTTTAATATGAAATTTTATATAAATGTGCAAATGTATTTGTTAATTTGTATTTTGCATGAATGTGTATAGTAAATTAAATGTTTTTTTTTTATATTTTAATAAAAGCTTTAAATAAAGTTTGTATATATGTACATATATATATATATATATTACTCAGCATACACTTACAAAATTTAATGTGTTCATTTTTTATCTCTTGAGATGAAAAACTGTAGAAAATATTCTGTATTTATGTATACAGATTAAAATGAACATAAAAATAATGAATTTTCAAGAGAAAATGAACTCTGAAAAATGTTCATCATCTCTAATTTATTTTGAATGAATTTTTTGTTTTAATAGTAAACACAATATAGTGTCTATATAAATTGAGTTAAAATAATTAATACATTACGTAAGGGCATGTAAAACAATGTTTTTTTTTTTTAAATTAAAGAGAGAAGAAAAAAATTGTTATAAAAATTTAATGAGATTTTTGAATTATTGTGAATATTTTGCAGAAATAATAAATATATACGAGTATATTCAAAATAATTTATTTAATAAAGAAATTCACAATCATTACTTTTATAATTTCATAAAATTAATAAATATAAAATTTTTGAAAATATATATAGTATATATGGCGGGGAGAAAGGAAATAAGGATGCTATTGAATTGCTCTGCGCATAGGCAAAAAAAAGAAAAATTTTTTTACTGAATGAAATCATATGTTTGTGAAAAAAAGCTTTTAATTTTTCTATTTCATTTGAAAAAAAAATAAATTCTTTTATTTATTATTCTGAAATAATTGTATATGTATATACACAATGAAATCTAGTAAAATTAAATTTGGGTATATTTCCAGCTTTGGAAAGGCTATTTGTAGTACTTAAAAATTTAAGCAGCTTATTTAAAATAATTTGGGCTTGTTTCAATTTTATTATTTCTAAAGAGCGTACATAAGCTCTTAAATTAATTCATATTTCGTTTTATCGGATCCAAGTTCAATTCCAAATTTTTAAATTTTCATATGTATGCATTATAAAGTATTGGTATTTAATGAAATTTAATTTACGACTTAACATTGGACTGAATTGTTCCTATTTAAATATTGTCATCATATGAATTCAATATTTATTTTATTAACCTTTAACCGACGAGATTGTAGTAAAATTTAATTACCTTTCGGTTTTTCTTTCGTAATCACCTTATATTTCTCCCTCACACTTTCATATTCTCTTTTGTACCTTCATACTGTTTTAAACTCTCTTACTTATAGTGTTAATTATGTTATCAAGCGTAATACGCTTACTGGTGAAGTTGGGAGAGAGTTGCAATAGTTACACCTCGAACTTTATAAGCTAAAAAACACAATTTCGGTGAAATCATATTCTAAATTTCAAAATTAGATTTTTTGCACCATACCCTCGAATATATTCGAAACCCTACTACATACTTATAAAAATTATTATTTTGAAATTTTTGTTTATATAATGAACTTCTAATTAAAGATGAAAAATTTCTTTAAAATAATTTTTTTTTTTGAAAATAAATTTAAATTTTTTTTTTCTTCTCAATTAATCCACTATACTTGTATGTGCTTTGAAATTCTTTTGAATTTTTTTTTTTGAAATTAAAAAAGTTGTTAAAACAAAATTTCGCATTAATAAGGTAACCATGTATTCGCATAATGTTATATGTATAACACAATATGTGAAAATGTATAAAGAGCAGATTTTCATATTTGCATAAAGAATTTAATAATGAAAATATCCTTAGATGCATAATGAAAAGTGAATTTTTCTTTTTGTTTTTCAATCGTTATAAAAACAAAAACTATTTAAAAAAAAATTTTTGTACTCTTTTTATGTGTAAACCTTCCTTGACATTGAGATTACAGAATTTTGCAATATAAAAAAAATATTCTGTTGAATATAAAATTGAAGTGGTAGTGAAAAATTATTGTGGAATAATAAGGTGTTTCAAGGACATTTTATATAATGAATTTTTTAAATTTAAGTGAATTAAAAATTGCATTTCTAAAATATTTTTGATAAAATTAAAAAATTTAAGAAAAATAAAATATGAATTTTTAGAATAAAAACTAAAGGTCCCAACTATTTTCTTATTAATTACATACCCACAGGCCACATCCTTTTCCCAGAAAATAATATGAAAACCATATGGAGTCTGGTGAAAATTTTTTGAAAAAATTCTAAAATATTTGTTCAGCTGTTTTTTTAACAATTCATTTTCCAAGGACCCAGAACCCGAAAATGCTTTAAGAAGTACATGAAAGATAAACTGTAGACAATAGGAGTATGGGTTATAGTAAAGGAAGATACTGAAGAAATTTTACAAGTTTTATTTGTGTATTCGGTTTTATATATAGTTCGGGGTTCCGAGAGAGGCTTATAAATTAAATTTGACCTTATCTGTATATAAGATTTAGTACGGTTATATTACAATACTTTTTATAATATTAAATTAAACCAAATTAATCTCTTACAATCTCTTTTTAAATATTTTTATATTTAAAATAAATCCAGTCCTTTGATTGTACAAAATAATTCGAACAGCTTGCACAACATGATCTTTAAATT